ACTAAGAGGACAGCATAGAGACTCAAAAGGCGACCGGTTACACATGCATGAAAAGACATATGTACGTCTGCATTGTGTGTCACTTTATTCAAAAGTAAAGAAAAAACACTTTAGAGAGATTTCAATACAATGCACTGACAATGATCAGAATAAAATGTATTCACTCATTTTAAGAAGTCCTCATCACCATAACTATAAATTTGAACTTAGTCATTTTATCATCTACTGAAACATGATCTGAGTGAACAGCTTTTCTTCCAACACAACATGCATCAATGCAGCAGACAAGAGTACACAGTATTTAGAGTAAAATTTGTTTTCTACTGTATTTCTTATTTTATTGTAGATGTCATCAACACCTTCATATCACATTGTAATGATTAACTGTAAGTTTTAGTTCTCCTGCATGGTCTTGTTGATCCAGTCTAGGTAGTTAGCGACTCTGGTATAGACTCCATATGCTCCCTTCTTTCCACAACCAACCCCCCAGCTGACAATCCCTGCAGCCCAGTACCGTTGGTGATCATACAGAGCATAGGGGCCTCTACTGTCACCCTGGCAGGAGTCCTTCGTACCTTCACGCATTCCAGCACAAAACATGTTATTTGTCAGGTCTGGTATGTTTGCGCTTTCCTGCTTCCATGAAACGGCTGACTTAGCACATTCCTCCTCTGCCACCAGAGGGACGAGCACATATTTCAGCTTATTAGTTAATGCAAAACGTTGTTCACCAAGTTTTGTAATGCCAAAGCCTGACACCAGCCTGAGAAAGACACAGAAGACATAGTGTTGGTGAAGTCAGTCAAACAAAATAAATCAGTGTCTCCTGTCTCGACAGGATGCACATGTTGACACAGCAAATGAAAAAAGCAAAAAGAAGACTTAAAGGCAAAGTAAAATGACTGAAATTACAGAAAAGGAAGTGGAGAATGTGAATGATTTCATATAAAATGGATTATACAGCATTCTGTAATGAAATCCAGCAGCTGTTTCTTTACCCCATTATTCCAGTTTCATATGCGGCCCCCTCTGGTGGCAAACATATTGGCATAATGGATGCATTGAATGTGACTGGGTCTTGCAGTTTGATCAAGGCAATGTCATTGTTGTAGTCTACATTATTGGGGTTGTTGT